CCAAGCCTTTGGGTTGGCAGGACGTGTCTGGGATTCAGGGCCGTCTCTGCACTCCTCATCACCTCCAAAGATTCCTCTCCTCCCGTTTGCCAAAGGGGAAGTTAGCGGACAGATCTGGTCGGGTACGGATCACTCCAGACGGCAGACAGGATGGAAGTATTGTCCTTGCTTTGAGCAGGTGACTTCATCATTCTGGCTTCCGGGTTGGGGTGAGGCGTGAATGTGGACAGGTTACCGGTTCAGTCCCTGTCCCCGTTAGGTGCTGACTCGAGTTCAAGTACTCTGACGTCGAAGAGGTGTCCGAGCTGTCCGCTGAGCGTGGCCGTGACCATAGCCCCACACTCCGTGCTGGGTATCTGCTGCGTGAGCGACAGATTGTGCAGCTCTCCGTAGCAAGCTGGTTCTTCCTTGCCTGGAATGCTATCACTGCCTTTGTGTGGCTATTACACTTAATTTTTACATCAGAAGTTATCGAGAGGAGTTTACACCTGCTTCAGATTCCAAACATAATTAAATGATAGAAGGTATCTTTATTATTTTTTCGCGGCTTTGAGTATTTCTGGTCTTCACCTGCAAGATCTTTTGGTAGACAAAGACCGATTCGCACATCCTCATTAGAAAGAAGACGGAGCAGTTGCTGGCTCGTGCGTCACAGCCTGAGGTTGGTTGAGCTCATCTCCCTGCGAGGCGCTGAGTGCATGGGAGTGGTCCCAGGCCCCCAGAAGTGTTCCCTCTGGGAGCTTAGAGCAGAAACCACTTTATTAAACGAAGAGACCTGCAGTTTGAAGAGTTTAATTTTGGTGCGTGTATGTTTCCTTCCCTGGAAGACCAGGGCGGTCTCCATTCAGCACTGGTCCTCCGTGAGTTCCCTTCGGGCAGCTGGTGGAGCGACGCTCTCAGCTGCTCACATGGGCGCTTCCCCACCATCCTTCATTCTGTAAATGTGCTTCTAAATGAATTCAAGTAAAAAAAAAAGCAAAATTTTGCTCATTTTTAAAATTTCCCTTCTTGTCCCTCTTGGCACGACCCAAAGGCAGGAGGAATATAAATGCATGTTCCACGTTAGTGATGACACAGAGCCGCTTCCATTCAGAGGTGCAGCTGGTGCAGCCTGCTGAGACTGCTACAGCGTGACTCAGGCCAGCAGCGAGCCCCCGCCGCACGTGCGGTGGCCATGTGCCTTCCGCCGGGCCACTGTCGCCACAATCGGCAGTCTGAAAACCTAGTCCTGCAGAGCCCGCCCCCCGCCGTGTGTGCGTGTGCATGAACAGAACAGTTAATGATGGTTAACGGCAGAAAAATTCCCATAATGTGCCAAATGAAAACCTTACAAGATCTGAAGTGCTGAGGTGCCAGGGCAGGTGCCCAGCACCCCTCCCCTGGCGGCCTCCCCTGGGCGGGGGAGCAGCTGCGACAGGTCCTTAGCACTCTTCCCAGAGCTGCTGTGTCCGGGCTGCCTGCCAGCCTGTCCGCCTTGCTTCCAGAGTCGGGCACCTTGTAGCCGACAAGGGTGTGTTGCACTGAGCCTCGTTGCGGAGTCCATTTGGTAAGTGTCCGTTTGAGGGTAGCGATGCGTCAGAAGTGCCCAAGGATGAAGTACTGGGATGTGGGAGGAGGTGCAAGTTCCTTGGGGTGCTGTGGGCAGTGTGCTTTGTTCAAGGGCCGATTCAGTGCTGCAGGGACTTTTACCACAAGAGCGTATCGCCATAACGTGGAGTGCTGTTCTTACCGTGGTCTGAATGTGTGCCTGTGTGTGAGGAGTGGGTGCTGTTAGGTGCGGGCGTAACTGGTTGTCCTCTAAGGATGGAGTGAGCTGCCATCTGTGCTTGACTTGGAAGTAACCGGGGCTGGTGCTGTGGCTCAGTGGATTAATCCATGGCCTGCAGCAGAGTCGGCATCGCATGGGGGCACCAGTTCCAGTCCCAGCTGCCTCACTTCTGATCCAGCTCTCGGCTGCTGGGCTTCGCCTGACCTACTTGATTGTTGCAGCCCTTTGGGGAGTGAACCAGCAGATGGAAGATGTCTTGATCCCTTCCTCTCTTTCTGTAACTCTGCCTTTCAGATAAATAAAAACAAGACAAAATAAAACAAACCCTTGAAGTTATGATACCAAATGGAACGAAAAATAAATTCCTAGAGGAAAGTCATTTTTTTTTCAAGATTGCTAATTTATTTTATTATAGTGGCAGAGTAGGAGAAAGATCTTCTATCACTTCACAGATGGCCACAAAGGCTTGCGACCAGGCCAAGGCCAAGGCCAGGAACTTGCTCCAGATTTCCAGCAGGGGTGCAGGGCCCCATGCGCTTGGGCCGTCTTTTGTTGTATCCCCAGGCGCGTTAGCAGGAAGGTGGATCAGAAGTGGAGTAAGCAGGGCATGAAGCAGTGTCCTGTGCTTGGCAGTGGCTTCGCCTGCTGTGCCAGAGTGCCGCCCTGAGGGGGTGCCATTGTGATTCAGGCCTTGGATCCCTTAGGAGTGAGTTAACCAGGAAAACAGGAGAGGGCATGGCAGACCTGTTCAGTCATGTACCTTTTATTTCTCATCACAATCTATTTTGCAAATGCTTATTATTTTACCCCATCTAGATGCACAGCAGAGCAGCCATTTACGGCTCTTAATTAGTGATAGCAATTTTGTAACCTGTCTAGGTCAAGTGACACATAGTGGCCACGGGTGGACTGAATTGGAAACATTTCTCAAGCGCAACTTGGTAGCAGGTTCATGGTGAATTTCAGTTGCTAGTACTGTTTCATGGAGTGATTCTGTTTCTCAGGGAGTCTCCTGCTGGAATGGTTAGCTGTTTCCAACATTGCCAAAAACCGGAAATCCAAAGGGAGTCTTGATGTCCGTGCTAGCACAGGGGTTGGTTGAGTTCTGGAGGGGGCCCAGAGCTGGATGGTACCCGGTGGCTCTCAGTTGCCAGGGAGTATGGTTTTGATCAAAAGAGTTGGAAGCATTAAGGCATTATTTATAAAGTTAGTTTGAACGTTAAAAAATGATAGGCGGCCTCATACCTTCATTTGTCAATTGTATGTGTGTCATCATTGAGGGAATTTTATGCTTTTCAGTATTTGCCACAACAAGTATGACAATTATAAATAATCTTTCAAAATCTAGCACAGAAAATAATTGAGAAGATCAAGGTTTTTTTTTTTTCCTTTTTAAATTCTGAGTAGTTTTCTTTTTAAATGACTTCTTCCTGTCTCAGAATATCTGAGGATTCCGGTACCGTTGAAGGAATCTTTCATTTGTAATCATTTTTTAAAAATATTCTACTTTTGAATCATGTCTGCTTCATTCATTAGTGCATCTGAAGATGATCATGAATAGGTGGTGATTTTGTTCCTTGAATCTGAGGAAATTCTACCCTCAGCTGCCTGGAGAATGTGCTTTTGTCAGGCTCCATGAACTTCTTGCAGTATCGCTGTCTTGGTTCCTCGGCTGTTCTGTTCTTGAATGGGGGTCTCTCTCCTGACCTCTCACAGGTGATCTTTCTCTGTTTACAGATTTTTCTTGCTTGTTTTTTTTCTTTTGGTTCACGTGGCTTGTTATTTTCAATAAAGATCCCTAGCAAAATCATTCACAAGTTATAATCTCTGATAAGAGCCAGTTCCGCACGTGCGTTTGCTGTTCGTGCTCCTTGGTCGGAGTGACCACGCTCTATTCGAGTGAGTTCATTGTAAGTCAGGGACCAGTGGCGCTTGCGCGCGTGTGCTGTGAGAATGCGAATCCTTCAGCTCTGTGGACCCACGTCCCGATGACAATATAAAATGCCAGCATGTGTGTGTGTGTGTGTGTGTGTGTGTGTGTGTGTGTGTGTGTGTGTGTGCGCGCGCGCACCTGCGAGTGTGTGCACCTGTGAGTGCGTGGTCGTGCTTCACAGGGCTCGAAGTTCAAAGTCAGAGGCTGCAGAGTACGTTGCACAACAGCCCTTCCCACGAAGGGAATGTGCTGGAGGACAGGGCAGAACTCCGAATGTTAGCTTAACGTTTCTGTTTGATGGAATGTAAGGTTATGGAAATGACTGTCAAAATAATTTGTCTGCAAGGTGTCTGGATACAGAAACCTACAAGAGGAAAAGCCGGAGAACACGCTGCATGGGCGAGTGCAGCACAGCCCCTTCCCCGAGCAGCACGTGGCGCGGATCAAAGCATCCCGTGACTTGGATCTGTGCGGCCAAATCATTACCTATTGATTGGAACCCCACCGGAGGATTAACCCCTTCTTGTTCACACCAAGCTTTCTCTCTCACAGTGTCCACAATCTTAACACTATCTTCTTCTGCCATTATAATAGCTTTATTTTTTGAGGCAAATCAAAAAATTTGCTCTGTCTTAGATTATTTTGTTGTTTTTCTGGGTTTAATTGTACTTTTGTTTGTTTATTATTGGAAAGTCAGATAAACAGAGAGGAGGGGAGACAGAGAGGAAGATCTTCCGTCTGATGATTCACTCCCCAAGTGAGCGCAACGGCCGATGCTAAGCTGATCCAAAGCTAGGAGCCAGGAACTTCTTCCTGGTCTCCCACATGGGTGCAGGGTCCCAAGGCTTTGGGCCGTCCTCGACTGCTTTCCTAGGCCACAAGCAGGGAGCTGGATGGGAAGTGGAGCTGCCGGGATTAGAACCAGCGCCCATATGGGATCCCGGGCGTTCAAGGCAAGGACTTTAGCCACTAGACCACGCCGCCGGGCCCTCCAGCTTTTTAAGGAATGGTTTTCTCTAGTCTAGTTGACTAGAGAGTTTTGCACTGAACAAAAGCCTGTCACATGACACCCTGTCACACATACACGTGTGTTTCTGGTGTTAAGGCAGCTGTCCCTGAGGAGATCTGGAATAGAACAGTCTGACTTAGTGTTTGTTGTTGTTGGTTGGTTTTTGAATCATTGCGGGATTAATGAGTGAGTTCCACGGGAAAGGCTGGCGGGAGGGCTGTCCCGTTCACCCTGGGCTGCTGGTTCTTGGCGGAAGGCTCACTCCCTTGTCGTCTTGTTTTTTCTTGCAGTTTGTCCCACGAGGAGCACCCGCACAGCCACCCTCTCTACGGACACGGCGTGTGCAAGTGGCCAGGCTGCGAAGCGGTGTGTGAAGACTTCCAGTCGTTCCTAAAGTAAGAAGGGTTCGATGCTGTTTTTGCTGTTCCTGTAGCCATCGCCTTCCCCGCTGTCCGTATTTGTGCTTACGTGTGCTTCTTACGTCCTTTCGGAGGGAGAGGCTCAGACCCCAGACGTCAGCGTGGCCCCCGGCAGGGCAGCCTCTCTCCCTCGGTCGTGGGAACAGGTGCAAGGGCTGTTGGAGATTGTCCTGCAACAGGAAACAGGCCCGCAGCACTGTTAGCAAGAGGTCCCATGTACCCATTCTTCAGATTGACAGTGATTCTGTAACATTTCTCCTAGTATTGGAAGTTCAGCAGTTCAGTTCCTGCTTGCTTCGCGTCCCTCCTTAGCTCACATCCCTGACGGCTCTCCCAGCTGTGACTGTACAGCGCTGTTGAGTGGCCAGCGTCCCCTGCGTGAGTGGGCCCTTTCTTTGGTGCCATGTGAGCGACTTCACAGATAGGAGAAACAGATGCTGAACAAGTAATACTGGTTTGAGTCTTGCCTTCCTCCCTCACATATTGTTGGTTATTTTTGTTCAGTTTCTTCTCCCGATAGGAAGGACGAAGTTCAGTTTTTATGGTTATTGTATGACTAAATGTGGGGTTAGCCCATCGGGGTCTGTAATTTCAGTAGTCTATCTCCATACATAAATGTATTCATAATATCATTAGCCATTGGCATACGAATTGGATATATTACATTATGCTTTGTAAGTATAAAACAATCAGAGAGGTATACATGTTATTTATGTGCAACTAGGCGTACGATTGTTTCTCTTTTTTAAAAAAGTGTTACTATAATTTTATTTGAAAGGCAGAACACAGGTAAGGAGAGTTCTCCCATTCTCTGGTTCACACCCCAGATGCCTCCAGTCGGCAGGGCTAGCCCAGGCTGCAGCCAGGGGCCTGCATCTCACGCTAGGTCTCCCACATGGCTGGCAGGGACCCAAGTTTTTGAGCCCTCACTTTTACCTCCGGAGTGTGCCTCGGCAGGAAGCTGGGTCGGAAGTGGAGGGTTGGGTCTTGAGCCCAAGCACCCCGGATTTGGGATGCAGACTGCCCAGTTGGCCTCTTTCTGCCACCTGTCTGTGCCTTAATGATGGCTCTCCACGTGCCTCCTGGGGGTTGGGGGGGGGGGCTCTAGCTTTTCTCTCACTCTCAATCCCCAGTGAAACAGGGGGTCTGATTTCTGGGCTGGTCTCCGCTTTTGCGTGGCTTTTATATAATCAGGACAGCTCCTGTGTCCGTCTCTGTGGGCCTGAATACATACACTGTAGTGACCAGACAGAGTGTTTCGATTCTTGAATGGAAGGCTGTGAATGAATCCATTTCCGAGATGTCTGTCTTTAGTCTTCTGCTTCAGAAGGATGATGTAGTTGGTGACTTCTGAGTTAGCCCCGTTAGCAGCAGCGAGGCTCTGCTGTGTTCTTACGGTTCGGGCGGGTTAGTGATCCCGTGCCAGGCTGTCTCGTAAATCCCTGGTGACTGGATCGCTGGCAGTTTCCCGATCATGTTCTGGTCATGAGTGAGAAAAGGACTCTGGAAACCATTTTCAAGTGTGGCTGCTTCTGCCCCAGGGCTAGGCTTGAGCAGGTGCATTGGTGCTGATTTCCTTCATCCGTGGAATGGCTAATGAGCCTCGATAAATATGATTTCTCTTTATAAAGTCTCTAGAACTTGGAAGCTGCATCCGCATTCTTGGTGACCTGTCTCCATTTTATTGTCCAAGGGAAATGACATTATTTTCCATATCAAACCCATTTAAAAACTCTTATTTATGGTCCAAGTAGCTTTACTGTAACACTCCTGAAATCGCCAAGGCATTCATTAGACGAACAGTCAGAATACTGGAAGGGAAAAACCTGACTTCAGACCTGCAGGGCTCGACAAGAGTCTAGAAATGCTTCGAATGGAGGCAGAACTTGATTTCCTTGAGAAAGCCCGTTTGTCTCCTGAGTCCGTCGGCAGTCTGCCATGGGGGTCCGGCCATCATTCATGGTGGCTTTGCAGGTGACCTGGCTCGTCCTCGGCCTGTGTGCGCCTGCAGGAGTGCGAATGGCTGCTGCTGACCTGCAAGGCTTGCTTGGTTCTCCCCAGTGTCTGTGTATTGACTTACATGTGTCATCAGACTTGTTTGCAAGTTGTAAGGTTCTTTCCAATTGAACCTGAAAAGGAAAGGCTTATGTGCCCATAAGCGGCTGAATCCCATAGTGGCTGTCTCTCCCAGTAGTTCTAGAAAAAGCCCCGGGCAGACTGGCATTGGCCCAGAACGAGTGGCGAGCTCCAGCTTTGAGGCAATCACAGTGACGTATCCAGGCTCCCCTCCCACACCTCCTCCAGAGCAGGAACTGCGTGGTGGCCAGGGTGGGTGCTTGGCTCTGGAAAATAAAAACAAGCTTTGTAAACCCGCAAAGAGAGAAAAAAATGCCTAGAACATGAAGTTCTCTTGGTGCTTCCCTGAGGCATGCACACGGATTGCTGAATAGGATAAATTGAGAATGTCACTTTTTTTTTTAATAGCATTTCTAAGAAGAAGTCCCTGTTTTCGGGGTCCAGGAGATTGCATCATACAGTGGAAAGCAAGTTCATTGTCACAGACTCACCTCTCCTGTGGCCCTCCCTAGTCTGTAGGGAGATCGGATCCGCTTCGGTGAAGTCCTCCCTCCAGGAGCCTCGCAGACCCTCCGTGGCTCAGCTGAAAGCCACGTGGCCCCTTTGAGTGATGTCGTTGTGGGGTCCCAGGCAGCACAGGATTGCTCAGCCCTTTGTTCTCAGAGCACGGGATGTGCAGGTTCTGAAGGCGTCTCTCCTGGATCCACTGCCCTCTCTCTCCTTGGGAAGTGATTTCCCAGGGACCCCAGTGGGGCTTGGATTCCTTGAGACATGCTCACACCCAGTAAAATGCAACAGCGCTTCGATCTGGAGTGAGGCGTAGCTGGACAGGCCTTGCCCCCCATTCATTTCCTTCCTTGTTTCTGATTTTGCTCTCCCAAGTACTTGCCACGTGTTAACCATCCCGATCCTCAAGCCTGCTTAATCGTGACAACACGCTGAAGCATTAATGCCAGCATGCAGCTAGAACCGAGGGCATCCAGAGGCTGCTGAGAGATGCAGCCGACATCCGAGCTGAGCCAGTCTGACTGGTGGATGCACTTGTTCTCAACTGCTGCACTACCCTGCCTGGCCAGAGGTGGCGCATCACAAGGCTGAGGAGAAGGAAATGTTGGAGAAAGGCAGACTGGGTAGGGCAGGGTTGGAGAGAGGGTTGGTAAGCCCCGGGAGCAGTGTGCTCCTTGAGCCAGTCCAGGGTCTGTAAGCCACGCGTGAGCACGCGTAACAGGGTTTCGTAGGAAGGGAGAGGGATTTTCCTCCTGTCTTCTGTTGTGCCAGGTAGTGAGATGTGATCGTTAGAGAGCCTGAGCCCAGTTCTCCAGGATAAAATCCCACTTGTCAAGGCAGTACCACAGTTAACAGTGGAGTGAAGACACAGGAAAGAGGGAGACTCGTGGGTCTAAAACCAAGGCCTAATTTTTTTTTTTTCATCCCGAGGAAGAAATATCCTAAGTATTGGTAAATCAAAAACAGAGATGTGACACCTCTCTGTGATCCTGCTGCAGTGTTTGTTCCCAAGGTGAGGTCCACCACAGGGCCCTTGATTTCAAAGATAAACACTGCACAAATAACCATCCTGTTGTCTTTTCCTCAGAGCCCACAGAGGGGCACTTTATCAGAAGCAGCAGATACTCAATCTATTGTATGCGTTTATTTCCCTGTTTCTTCTCAAAACAAGTTGCAGTTTGAGTGTTGATATATATATTTTTTTAATCTAGCAACCCTAGGTCATCATGTGACTGCTGTGTTTGTTAGTGCAAACTGATACCAGCAGGTGCTCCTGCTAACTCTAATGAAATCGCCCAGCCCTGCCTGCATTGCTTGGAATCCTCTGATAACAGACAAAAAACAAGCCCGTGTCCTCCAGCTCCGTGGGGCTGCCTCCTCTCTCCAGCCCTCTCCCTACCAGAGGCAGTTTTTTTTTCTTCCTGATTAGACTGAAGACACAAATGATGCTTACCAGTAAAAACATGGATCTCTAACCCCTTCTTTTTTTTTTTTAAGACTCCTGCCACATATTTGCAAGGTGGGGAGTGGGGCTGAGGGTTAAAGCATGACCACATTTTCCCGTTTTAAAGTTCACATGTAAAATCAGGCACAGACCCATGGCTGCACAAGTGCCAGGGACTCTCCTGTGCGTGGGATGAGTGTTTTCCATCACCTTTTAAAATTTTTGCCTTGGTCGGTCACTTGTATGACGTTAAATAAGAGTTATAATCTGTATCCTTGAGTAGTATTGCATTGGAAAAAACATCCCCCCCCCCGCCCGTTTTTTTTTCTCACGGAGGCAAGGGCTGTGCAAAACAAAGCACAGATCCCTTTGCATGGCAGTCAGATGTATATAACTTATTCCAGCCAAAATAAATTTTATATGTGTTCTACTAAAAGCCATGGAGGGAATGACGTTGAAAGAAAATGTCCAGAGATGGAACTCGGGCCCTGTCCTAGGGCTGCGCGGCCTGGGCAGTGCAGGAGGCTTCATTGCTAACTTGGCTTTAAAAAAAAAAAAAAATTATTTTTTCGGGGAATTTTACTTTTCCAAAACTGTGAAGAGTTTTATATGAAAGAAACTACGGAGTGCGCTCTGTAATGTTTTCACAAGTGTTTTTATCATGGTAACATCTTGTTTACTTTAGTCCCCTGCCTAAAACTACTTGGAACATGTTAAGAAAACATTTCAAGAAAGCCTCCACAAAGAGGCTTTTGTTTAACAGCCACCGTGAGGCTGCGCGGATCACAAAGGTGTTAACTTTCAGCCCCTTAAGCACTTCCACATGAAATTCCAGCAACTGTGTTTGTGGTTTTGGAAAAACAAAGTGTATGTTAAAGAAACCAGGTATATGCTAATACATGTTAGAGGAGGCCGGATATCATAAATTGTTTCAAACCCATTTTGTGGC